TAACCACGTTTCTGTTAGATCTACCAAGTCGGGGTGGAAATAGTCCACGGTAAGTTTTATTTCGTCCAATTTTTGAATAAACTCTGTACAAATGTGTACATCATTTTTAAATTATTCGATTGGTTAGGTCTCCGGAAATTATTTGCTAGTGCTTTTGACTGATAGGTACTACTGCTTATTTCACATGGCGTACCAAGTCCACTAGTCGATTTTGAATTTACTGAAGTTTGTCGGAGCCGAGCGCCGGTGCTTTTACCGGCAATTTCACCGGATGATTCAACAAGAAGGAACGCTCTATTTTTACAATTTGGTTGTTTACTTTTTTCAGATCCACATCACCCTCGCTCTGGCATTTTCTCATTTCCCCTATCAGCGTACAAGATTTTTATTCGTTCGATTGGGTGATAGTCCGGCTAAAAAAACACTCCACGATGGTTTTTTCGAAGACTGCACTCTCGCGAAAAGATTAGATATGCTTGCTGTTCGTTTCCCAATACGACTTTTAGTTGTCTCGGCCGCAATTTCACTGCATTGTTTCTAACTAAAGGTCTCAAACGGAAGATCTTTTGGATTTTGACGACCTCACCAGGTACTTGGGTGTCATTCGGCATGTTTTGGAACGTCAGTAGATCGTGTTTCGCCCTCTCTTTCGGGGTTTTACCAGGTGCTTCAGGAACTCCTTGCATTACCTTACAACGCGATTTCTCGGGGAAAAAGCTAGTGACTACATCCTGCCCTCGTTTTTTGGCGGTAGATTGAGTCACAGACCCTGGGACTGCCTTTATGGATATGCCAAGATCAGTTTCCAGGTTGCTCGCGTTCGGGATATATGCTCTAACGTCTTTATTCGTCTGCCTTCGAATGCCTTCGATTACCGTCTACTAAGGACAACCCTAGAGGCTCTTCTCACGCAGCGCGTCCTATCTTGAACTAGAGCACGTGGAGGGCAACAGGCTAGTTGTCTGGACCTCCTCTTCACCAAAGATCCTGCCAGTATAGACGAGGTGTACTACCTACCCCCGCGCGGTCGAAGTGGTCATGCAGTACTTTTATGGGAGTACGAGCTGTATTCTGAACCGTATAAAAAAGAGGATACGAGGCCGAATATATGGAAAGGGGACTCTTGCCAAATGAGAGCTGAGGAATCACAAATAGACTGGGATGTACTCTTCTCCGGAAACGTTAGCGAGGACTGGAATTTATTTAAGGGTTGATTATTGCATCTAATGAAGAGCCACTGTCCCGTATCAAAGCGTAGGACATCCAACCGCCCTCAGTGGCTAACACGAGAACTAAAAAAGGAGATCAATAAGGAAGGAAGATTGTGGATGAAATTTCGGGAAAACAACAACATTGCAGCATTTACAGAATATAAATTGTAAAGAAACAAGGTGAAAATCCTGATTTTCAAGAAACGACGGGATTTTGAGAGTAATTTGCTTCACTGAGCCGTTAAAAATCCGAAATTGCTTTACAGCTGTTTGCGGAAGAGCACTTGTAACAGGAATCCCATTCCTGTCATGAGAAATGATGACGGTTTGGAGATATCGGACAGTAAAAATAAAGCTGAGCATTTTTCTCAATTTTTCCAATCCGTTTTCACAAGAGAAGCAGACTTTATTCCCACTAGTTCCGAGAACATGGAAGAACTAAAAAGCTTGAAGGAAGGTAAATCTCCCGGTCCGGAAGAGATCCCACCAAAACCGCATTTCGAGCTTGCCCGAGAGCTGGCCAAACCACTATCCTTTCTGTGCCAGGAATCGTTCGATGCTGGAATCCTTCCCACATACTGGAAGACGGCCCACATTACACCCCTTTACAAAAGCGGTAGTCGTGCTCTTGCAACGAACTACAGACCCGTCAGTCTGACAGCAATCTGCTGCAAAGTGATGGAGAAAATCATCAAAAAGGAGTTGATGACTAATCTGGAAAGTCACAATCTCTTGTCAAATGCACAATATGGTTTCCGTAGGCGAAGATCATGTGTAACGGACTTGTTATATACAATGCAAAGTTGGACAAGAGCACTGGACGCAAAATACACTGTGCACGTGGCCTATATTGATTTCCGGAGGGCGTTCGACAGTGTCCCGCACCAGCGTCTCCTGCATACGTTGAGGATTATGGGCATTGGCGGCAAACTTCTCAAATGGATCAAGAACTTCCTCGTCTGCCGTTCCCAAATTGTCTGCGTAGAAAGGCAGCTATCAAGGCGGACATTCATAGGGAATGGAGTCCCTTAAGGCTCGGTGCTCGGACCAACCCTCTTTCTCTTGTTCATCAATGATTGTGTAGATGGGTTGGACTGTGATAGTGCCATGTTTGCGGATGACATAAAAATCTGGAAAGTTATCCAGAATGCTACCGATGAGACTAACTTCCAAGGAAATCTTTGTCGATTGGACGAGGGGTCCCGCAGATGACTCTGGTCCTTCAATTTAACCAAATGTACCATACTGCGCCTCGGAAATCAAACCCCTAGTACGCGGCAATACCATCTGAACGGAACACCATTTATCTCGGAGTCTGGGTTGAAGACAGCCTTAAGCCTTCTACGCAATGTTGTGAGGCGTCCAAGGCCGCAACTTCAATACTATATGCCATCAAGCGGGCATTCGCAGTTTTCGATGAAGACTGCTTCTCCAAAGTCTTCGGCACGTTTGTAAGGCCGCACTTTGAATATGCAATTCAGGCCCCGAGACCATGGACACATCAGGATTACAATCTGTTCGAAAGGGTGCAGAGGCGAGTTACAAAATTAGTAAGAGATCAAAGTGCACAGCCATACGAGATCCGCTTAACTTACCTTAATTTCCATCCTCTGAGTTATAGGCAGTTGCGCGGAGACTTGATACAAACTTTCCGTATCGTGCGTGGCTTGGACTGCGCCCTTCGGTGCGATGACTTTTTCCAACTCGCCACAACAACTAACCTCCGGGGACATCCCTTAACGCTACGTGTGCCCCAGGGTAGATTGAATGTGAGAAAATAGTTTTTTCTCCAACCGTGTCGTGGAACCGTGGAATAACCTGCCCGAGACGATTGTCATGTCTCAATCTGTGGCGACATTTAAATGTAGGCTTGACAGATAATATGCTACAGCAGCAAGCGGACTACGTGACTTTTTAGCCATGAGACCAGTGACATATGTGAATCAATGCCAGCATACACTTACTGCTGTAATTTCTTCACATTCTGCTAATTTATCGATTTTTTATGCACAAATAGGGAGTTCAAAGGCGTAAGCCTATTTCCCTCAAAAACACTGACAGTGACACACTGACACATCTTGCATTATAGCTTGATACACATGTGAAGGGCAAGCTGCTAGCCCTCTTTTCCGGCGTAGGAGAATCCATACGACTACTTCCTACACGTTTTTTGGGTTATCGATCGCTGTTTTATTTTGGTACAGACGGAGTCTGTATGATATAGATTTATCAAGTTTATGGAAATGCAGAGACCAGTTCCATCCCCATCTGTCTTTTTTTATTTCCTTCCATTTCAGTTGAGTCCGAAGACTTGTCTAGTGACTTCGTTCGTTGCCTCTTGTTTCGCCGAACGTGACGTCTATAACCTTCTTCCGGTTTCTTGAGGTTCCTGTGGTCCGGCTCGTTTATGTTTTTCATGTGCTTTGTATCATGTGCAGGGGGTTTAATTTTGTTATACTTGAAAAGTGACGCTATTATTTCAGTGAGGAGGTCGACGTCTACTTCTAGTTTGGAAACTCTGGTGGTGGGTTCTCGACATCCATCACAGGCTGTCGACATTTCACCATCTAGTTTATTTGTGGCTGACATCAGCAGTGAAGTGCGTTCTCAAGGGTCGGTGGTCAGTGGCCCATCACGTCCAGCTGAATGCGAATTAAGTATTTCCGGAAACTTTTTATCACATTAAATAAAAAACGGTCTACAAATAAGTGATAGATCGCCTTTTCCTGAAAATATATTATATTCGTAGACGTTCGGCCGTCCGGGCGTGACCGAGTCGTTATGGGCATCGGTTCTTGCATAAGTGGTCCCGAGGTCGAATCTCCGAGGAGGCGGACTCTTGTCACAGGTAGTAGGGTCGTGGACATTTGCACTCCACACGCTAGCAAGGTCTCTTTGAGATTGCATCAAGTTATAATGGACGACTTAAATTGGTAAGCTACAACTTCACTGAGCACAAAGTAAAGCTCTTTTCCAAACGGAACTCAGTATCAAATGTCAATTGGAAGAAAAGAGCGACTAAGCCTTCGCAGACAGGTTGTCAGTAGTTTTCGTTTTCTGTCAGATTCCGAGCACTTCGTCGACGGAAGATTGACCTCAGATGCACGATGGAGCCGGTATGCATAGGAATCTGGACTAAACCGAGCCGGTTATCTTGCTAAGCTCCGGAGAGTGGTTTCCTGAGAGCCTCAGTGAAGGATGAAGATATCACAGATAATGGGATCAGTGAAAACGGAGGTTAACTGCAATTTAAAGAGGATTTCTTGACTTATTTCAACGAAGCGCCACCCTGACCAGACATGGGTGACCCAAATGTCAAAATGTGGGAAGACGAGCAAGCTCCAGTTGAATTCAATCAGTGCGGAATAGGTCGCTTGCTGTGGAAATCCGAAGGTAACATTTAGGGAATTAAGAAAACGTGATTCTCGATACCTTGGATCAAACTCAATACTTTCAGAACACTACGCAGATCCATTAAACCAGACGAGGAGAAATATAAACGATTCGAAACCTCCCACACTTACTATTATGTTTATCCGCATCTGCTTGCGGACTCTGGCTTCTCAGCCTGTTTGAAAATCCATCAGCACTGACTCTCATAAGACGATTCACGTTAGTTCAATAATATTTAGTTACGGGGACGGTGCCGTGTATTGCTTTATTCAGACTCGTAATCATTGGAAACTTTACCACCTTGAGCCTTGTTTTAATTCTTCAGTGTTCACGAGATGGTTGAGGCTTGGGTTTTGCCCTAGTTTAAAAGTTCTATCGCGTGCAGTCGGGTGTTCAATGGATTCTCAGTTAAAGAGCAAAGTTGAAGAGTGGTTAAGGTGGGACCGAGTAAGTTGCTGAGTCCTTTTATTTTAAAATACCAGAATTCGGTGACCCGCGATGAAATTTCTGCCTTAGCAGCAGGCGACAACGTCGCGCAATTGACAAAACTGCTAAATAAACGGATGGAGTTTGGGACTGCCGGATTGCGCGCAAGGATGGGTGCCGGCTATTCCCAAATGAACGATTTGACTATCATTCAGACGGCTCAGGTTCGAGGAGTTGAAAAGTTGACTTTCTTTCTAGGGCTTGTTGAAGTACATGAACGAGAATTATATTCACTTAAAACCAAAGGGAATAATCGTTGGTTTTGACGGCCGACACAACAGCAAAAAGTAAGACAGTCGCTCGATTTCTTAGTTTTCTGCAGCTGGGCTCTTATTACTGCCAACATATTCGTCCGGTCAGGCTGGAAGGTTTACCTCTTTCGTGATTTCAATCCGACGCCATACCTCGCATTTGGTGTTCGTCATTTCAAGACTGCCTGTGGAGTTATGGTTACCGCATCTCACAACCCTAAAGATGACAATGGCTATAAGGTTTTGTTTTTACTTGGGGACTTTACTCACTTCTTATTGTGCTGTTTATCAGTGTCAAAATATCACGCAGTCGTGTTCGTCTTTCTTTAGGTCTACTGGGAGAACGGTGCGCAAATCCTCAGTCCACATGACAAGGGGATCGCCAAGGCAATTTCAGAGTCCCTTGAGCCCCAAGAAGCGTCTTGGGACTATCAAAAGGTCGTGGACAATCCCAACTGCCTAAATCCAATGCCGGAGCTGGAAAAAAGTTACGTGGACATACAGAAGAGGAGCATCTGCTACACCGAGTGAGCAGTACTTTTTGAACCACATATAGGGCTTCCCTTTGCACAATGTGTTTCCACGTTGTGCATTACCCCTTAGCCAATAAGGCGGGGGTCGATTAGCGTTGGCCTTATTTTCATTACAGGTAGCCAGCGTCATTGTTAGTGGACATGTGATTTTCTAGGTGGTCTGTTGGAAGAAGGGTAACCATGCTCCTGGAGAAGATTACTCTCCTTTTTTCTCGATTATCGACTTTGGCAACCCATTCTCGGTGTTTGGAGAGCCGCGTGCATTCTGCCTGATGCGTGGGTCGCCAATGCCAACTATGAGTCTACCTTGGACTCCCATTTTACTGTTAGCAAAATGCGCCGTACAATGAATGCTATGCACACGAATTTACGGTATACGAATATGGGTAACCGAAGGGACAAAAATAAATCTCTCGTTTAGCGCGTCTGCTTTTGAGTACCAAGTGTCTCGCTGCTTGACCAAAATCTGCGTTTAATCGTTTCTCAGACTTCATCATTTGTTATGGAGTCTCTAAAACCTTTTCAAAGTTTACGTGGATGAATCACTCACGCCTCAGTAGACCTTTGTCGTCCTCGAAGCAAAGAGCTCCTACTGTTTTGGCATGAGCGATCTTTTCCAAAGCATACCGCGTTAGCTAGTTTTTATTCACTTGATCATCTGCCCGTTTACGCAGTTTCTCCAAATGCTGAAACTTTGTTGAAAACGGAATCAAAACGCCGTTTCACTTGTCTGTTTTCTGACGTGATTCAGTTATCTGTCTTTAACCCAATGGGAGTTTCGCGAAAGTTTCTTGATTTACGAAATAGTGAAACACCGGCTTGCCAGCAAAAACCCGAGTTTTTAGATTTCCTCATTGTATCATAAATAATTTTTGTCGCCATTTTGTCGAAACCACCAATATTTTCTCTAAGCCAGACGCCAGCATTTTGACGGTTAGATCTCAGTGTTGTAATTTAATAAAACGTTTTCCACTGCTTTCGCTAATAATACCTTCCTTTGCTGATATATTTATGCACTAACAAGTATGACGTGTCTTCGTCTTTAACATCCCAACAAAGTATACTTGTTGCACAAAAGTGCCGTTAGTTGATCCAGTGGTACCGGCAAACTGCAACATAAAGTGCCTACACCGTTTCTCATATACGGACGGACACAGCTATATATTTGCTTTGTATTATCTGCACATATATAATATCAAGAGCCTGTACTTTAAAACAAAATCCTGGCCCTATCAATAAATAGGCGCCTTTGAAACGGAATTTGTTGTCTGATAAATTCTGCTTATTCAAAAAAAACTGAATTTAACCCTTTCCATTCGGATGGACAGATCTGCCAACAAGAAATCGGACGTCTCCTTTGTATATACGGCAATGCATGGCGTCGGCGCGTTGGCTGCTCAGAACATCTTCAAAGAATTCGGTTTCCAGCACATGGTTCCCGTAGTTGAACAGGTAAGTAGTTGGAAAAATGAATAATTTGGTTTTGTCAATTGTATCGACTTTTGTAAGCTTGCCAGAGCTTCAATTAAGATTGTGGGCTTACCTTAACCACTAAAATCAGTCACCAGGATCTCAGCACCAATTTCTGTCGCTCACTAAAAGACAGAAAACGTCAGAAAAATTCGACTTATACAGGAGGTTGAAGGCATCGGACACTGGTCGCCAGTTAACGGCGTGTGTTAGCCATCCAGGGTTAAGTGCAAGTTGTTAGCTGATGAAGACAGCGGTCACATTCTGCGGCGTTAAATCGATAAATTAATTGGCCGACAGTCGCATGTAAATGGTTTGTTGGCTTATCATTCGTCCGAGGTGGTGCCTTACCGTAACGTCGGTGGGAGCTGCAGACAGAGAGGTGAGATAGACCCGGGACCTGGCGCTCAACCCTCGACACCTGACTGTTTGGGGCGGTTGAGGGGAGCAAGGGCTGAAATGCATAGTATAAGACACACGTAGGTTGTGTTTTTGCGTCTATCTTGGAGGATTTCCTTGAGTAGATGACAGGGGCTGACGCCACGGGTTATTCAGAGATACAGGTTGGTGGCAAACAAATGTTCGGGCTTATCGCTGCCTGTATATGCTGGCGTGTTAGTTCGTTAATACGACACACAAGAGCACGTCCAACGCACTACATGCCAACGAATGTGGGGCTGGATGAATCCGTTTCATCGTAGTCCGGTCTCCAATCTGGGTACTGGTCTCCAGTTTGGGTACTGGGCAGCCGCATTTGGCCACAGTTGGCAGCATAGGATAACTATTTCAGGAAGTTAAGATGGAGGATTTGGTGAGCGATACCAAGCTACTGTCTTTTTGAATCACGTCAGAATGTTACCTTTACATAGTCACGCTGGCACTATTAATTCGTTACAACCAAGGAAGTCGGCACAGCGTAGTCATAAGAATAAACCATTGTAATCCCAGGCCCAAGTTACGCTATACAATTCAGTACAAGGGGACTAGGGCCTGCACTTGATCTTATCCATAATAGTAGCTTCGTATACTTTCAGATCAAGCCCGATCCCGAATTCCCCACCGTAAAATTCCCGAACCCCGAGGAGGGCCGATCAGCATTGGAGTTGGCGATCGCTACCGCCAATAAGTGCGGCGCTAAGGTGATACTTGCGAACGATCCTGACGCCGATCGTCTGGCTGTGGCCGAAAAACTCCCCACGTACGTTTTGTTTTACTGGTCATTTTTTCCCTGTACGTATTCACTACTATTTTACGATATTTTCCATGTACAAAATATTCGATGACTTTTTACGTTTTCTCTTTTCCGAAGTCGTCATTACGCTGATTGCCACCTAAGTGACTGTATGCATATATGTATAAGTACATAGAAGTGGGCGCACACCGATCCATTGGCTTTCCGAAGCAAACAAGCGCCGAATTGGTGTTGGCGAACGGACGGTTACCTGCCAGACTGAACTCGGGAAGCTGTAACAGTAGAGGGGAAGACTACAAAGAATGGAGGTAGATTTACATAGAACTGTTTTGGGCTTATTCTGCCCTTATTTAGCTATCCACAACTCTGACCGCTATCCGGAACGAGAAGCACAAACATGTGCACGGGGTCCACAGACAGGGTCTATTAGATGGGTCTTCATTGTTGTCTACCTGCCTGTCTTACTCTGTTGCTGCAGATCGGGTTATTTATTCATTGTAATATATATGGCTTATGAAAACAAAAATATAAATAGTGATTGGTCTATAGTGTAAATCTACTTCGGCAGCGGCCATTTTGGTCCCTATGCTTCCGCTTGATGCGTAATATCGACTGTAATCAACCTCTTCGCAGCATACCAGCCTCTTCCTTAGTTGTGCCTTAATCAGCATTTGATGACTGGACGTTTTGTCCCTTAGATGCAAGATTAGTCTTGGGACTTTGCAGGAGGCTTCATGCCCAATGCCCTTAAATAACTGCTGTGTAGTCCGTCTGTCATAATTTAAATGACACCGAAGAACAACAAATTTTATCCGACAACTCAAAATCCACATACCCTCAGGATTCAGGCGCCGGCGCGCCGTCCCTTTTTGTTTGCTCCAATGAAAGACCTGCATTAACATGCAATATGTTTTGACCAAACTGTGAAAAATTCGACAACCTCGATGGGATTTAAGCCCACGACATCAAGGGAAGGACTTGAGTACAACCAATGCTCTAGCCATTTGAGGTACGAGGCTCCACCCGTAGCTGTGAGTTTGATCACATTTGGGTCGTTACTCGCCCAGCCTACTGTAATGTATTGAATCCACCTAATCTGATTCAGTAAGCTAATTGCCAAGGCAGGCTTTTCTAAGTAATAAATCTAGAATCTACCAAAAGACTACCAGACTCACGTAATTATTGAGTGTTTTAGCAGATTTTGAATAATTTAGTGAATACAGAGTGATCAAATTACCTGTCTTTTTTCAAATACTGTCAGCACAATTTACCCGAAAATCAAAATCTCGCATAGCTGGTATTTTTTGGCAACGCCATTCAACCATGCCTTGGCGAAGGGTTTATCTTGTAGGCAATGACAAATGTGTGCAAACTCGTGTCTCAGTATGTTCGGGTTGACTGTTACCGGCGTGCCTCACGCAGTCTCCTAGAACGAAAGCACTTTCCAGCAAGACAGAGCATTACTTCAGGCTGTAGATCATTTCCACTCAGATGAACCCTTTCACACTGTCCCGCAAGCCTTAATGACGTCAATTGGGTGGTACTGATGATGGCGACGTTCTTTTCTCCATCGCTCTTATCTTTGGTACCACCCTGACTTCAATTCTTAACACACGCCCGCCGTCTCCACCGCACGTGTGCATGTCTAACGGGCCTTGTTAACTGGTCGAGGGGTCGTGTTCACCCCCCCCCTCATCCATGTTAGTGCAGACGCCTGCACACCTGCACACGCCTCGTATTTTCTGTCTGTTTGCAAGTTCATATTGCGTAAACTATGCCTGTGCCGGACGGGTCTTGCATATGCCAACTTCAAATACACGCCCGCCGTCTATGGATTCCTTGCACTCTTTGTTAGAACGCCGGTTGTTTGTTTTCCCTTATGTGGACAAGATGGGGACAAATGACTTGTGTGTTAAATAATGCGTTAGACACAGAAATTCTGTAGGTTATTTTCTCTATTCTCCCTTGCCTCCAGAGGAAAATGGAAGATCCTGAACGGGAACGAGCTAGCGACGCTTCTGGGCTGGTGGATCTGGACAATGTGGCGGAAACGCAACCCCACCAAGGATCGTAAGTTCTAACCCCGCGCCATTCATGCAGCTGTTGTTTATTGTAACCAATCATGCGCTGTCAAGAGACCTTGTGTTATCCCACGGTAGTTGAAGAACCGGCATCTTATTCATGGGTTTCACATGTTGGTAAACAATTCATATCCCACAAAATGATACCGAGGAGTATTTTGGACTTCCCCTTGGAAGTAAATCTCCTTCAGATGAGTACGACGAGGGCCTTCTAGAGGCTTCTCCCATTACAAAACGAAGCCGGGTTTTTGAATCCTGCCGTTGCCGAGGTCTTCCCAAGCGTGTCTTTGTGTCTGATGCCTGCCCCTCACAATTTGTAAAATTACGTTTCAGGTGGAATATCTGAGACAAAAACCAGTTCACTTTCTGTTGTGGATCTTCCCTGTTGAGTTTTACGGCATTATGTCGGGCGTCCTTAGTTGAGGATATAGAACCTTTGGGATCACACCTCCAACTTGAGATTTTTCATCAAGCGAGATGTTTTTGACACTGCTTGATGCGCTTACCTCACAGTCTCGTCTTGAGTGGCTGTTGTGATTACTGTGTCGCCCAGATCCTCCTTAACGTAAATATTTTTTTCCAAATTATCTGTAGTCTCGAAGGTCTACATGATCTCAAGCACTGTGTCTTCGAAAATTCTGCGCTCGATCGCCCAGAAGGAAGGTTTCAACTTTGAGGAGACTCTAACTGGGTTCAAGTGGATCGCCAACAAGGTCTACGATCTGATGACTGCCCAGCCCGACGTGGAAGTGATTTTCGCCTTCGAAGAGGCCATTGGTATGTTAGTCTTTAGCTCTGTCTCCTAAGCTGGGGCGTCGCTGGGACGTCGGATCCGTAGTGCAGTCATCTGCTGCACCCAGTTTCCCCGTCTATTTTGATGAACTGGCCTGGCTCCTGAAGGAGCATTGGAAGTAGGAGATAGATTTAGACTGATAGTACGCAACCGTGGCAAGTGATGACATCAGCCACGTGTCCCACGGAGTGGACGCGGTATCGGCGACTTACGTTTGGATTATTTGATAGTGGGACGAACTTGCGTAGCATCCACCACGCTCTCTCTTCCCCCAGCCACCTTGCGCCGATGGCAAGACGGTTTGAAGACGGGCTTGAGCGCAGTGACTGACAAGGCTAGACAGCCCATCTATGCGTGCCACACATGACCTGCTTCCCACGATATGTACCAGACTTCCATGAGGGCTGCTCGGACCTCAAGTGTGCGAGAGTGCCACAAACTTGTAATTATTTACCATACTGCCAATACAGGTAGAAGCTACAAGTCCAGACACGCGTGTTTCGCCGATCTTGTGCCGCTGCCTAACGCAGCTGCGAGGGGTTCGGCTCATCAGTGGGTTCCCCAGCCTTCCCCGCTGTGTTTTCTGGTATATGATCTCCAGTTTCACTCTACCCTGTTTAATTTCTTAGAAAATTGATGCGCGAACTTGGAGTAAATCCTACGGAACAGACCTTTTCAGGCACAATCCGAACTTTGATATGAATATTTGAGCTGAAATCCGTCAACTACTGCGGAATAACCACGTAATATCCACAAACCGCCAACTCGCGACTGCGTCAGGCAGCGGCACAAAATCGCGAACCACGCGTGCCTGGGCTTTTAACTTCTACCTGTGTTGTCAGTATGGTAATTACTGGCTGCCTGTTGGCGGTTTGTGGATATTACGTGGTTATTCCGCAGTAGCTGATGGATTTCAACTCAAATATATCAAGTTTGGGACCGTGTCTGAAAAGGCCTGTTCCGAAAGATTTACTCCAAGTTCGCGCATCAATTTTATCGGAACTTAAACAAGGCAGAGTGCCGTAAACGTCATACTGTGAGGAGCCATTACGACCTGACTCTCAGTTCTGAGAAGGATCGAGTTAGCCTACGACTCTTAGCACACCCTGACAGATTAAAGCGCATCAGATCTATTATTTTGAGGCATGAGTAGTTCATTTTGACCAACCTGCAATAGACTCGGCGGCATTCGAACCCACGACAGCCAGGACAAGGTTTGAGTACAGCCAAATCTCTAGTCACCTGAGCTAGAAGGCTCCGCCGGGGGCCGTGAGTTTATGCACATTTGGGTCAAGTTACCCGCCCAGACTACAGTAAGCTTGTAGCGACTAAGCGGCTAGAGAAAGTGCTCTGAGAGCTATAACCACCAGGTCGAATCCCAAGTCGTAAGGAAAAAGACAGTAGGCACCAGAATGAGGGGTTTATTGTGCACAAAACCCGGAGTTGTCCTCTTAGGCGACAGTGACCACTGGCGAAGCCAGGGCTGGTGTTGACTGTGTCCAGTCAGGCCTGACTCCCCGAGACAGTGGTGGCAGCCGCTTTTGTAGGCTCGTGGGCCAAGCTCAGTTGGTCTCCAATAGGTGTGTTGCATTTGCCGAGGGGTGGAGTCCCAGTGGCTTAGGTTGTGGTTGCAGGGGGTGGGGTGCGTCCAAGTGGACGCATGGGCTGCTGCGGCTGTGCGGACGCAGGTGTGTTCGCGCTGAAGTCGGTCGAGTGGCTTCAGGTCAGCGCGTCTGGGACGGCTCGCTTCAAGGGGTGAATGACCTTGAGGCAACGAGGTCTAGAACAATGAGACCAGACCGATCATGATAGCTGGCCACTACAAGCTGACTCCCCAAGCAGGATTTCCGAAACCACCAATCTAGACTTCATTAGATAAGTACTGGGCTGATTTAATAAGTAGGTTTTTTAGGTGATTTATTTTGACTCAGTTGTCCAAAACTCGGCTGTTTCGTAACTTAGGTGGTCAGAGCGTTGGCTGAACCCAAGCCCTGTCCTTTCCGTCGTGGTTTCGAATCCCACTGAGGCCGAGGGGCTTTTTGTAACCGGGCCAACATTATTTATTCCGAGTCCACCAAAGCACCTCTTAGGTGCCGAATGCGCTGATTTGCCGTGAGAACGAATTCCGCCGCAGTGCCGGTCGCACTGACTCTCCTTGCCCTCTCCTGTGCATCAGTCGGCCGTACGAGCCTGTCGGCCATTTGTTGCTGGGATTGGCGCGGCGTGAAGCTCATGCCAAGGCGCGCCCCACCACACCCCCGCATGTGCGACGGCAGTTGTGGCCTCGCCCAATTAACGCGCGCCTCGCCCAAATCTGGCTCTAATTTTGGGCAGGGCACGTGATCCATTGTTGGCGCGCGAGTCAGAAAGCGCAGGACAGGCATCGGACAATAGATCTGTCAGCCACTACACCCGGTCGGTGAGGTTGCTTCTGCAGTGGCAACACTGTGGGAGTTGACAGGGTGAGATCGGCGTTGTACGGGTCTTCTTCAACTGCAATCCGATTCTTGCTGAGTCATTTGCGTCGCTGCTGATTGTCCTCGTCAAGAGCAACAATTATATTTCATAGGAAACATGCATTCAAATGTTTATTCTCTTAATCATTCAGTAGAAAATTACGTCTTCTTTCGATTTTATATTCGAATGAAGGGTGAAATCCGCTTTTCAAAACTTTTCAAATTCCACGAATTCCCGAATAATTTTGAACCCGACCTGGCGTTACACTTGTATTCAGGGTTTCCAAACTACAAGCCGTATATTTTCCGCGTACGGAAAACCATACATTCCTCTACGGTTTTAAAAGGAGATCATATGGGCTTCATAGAATTTAGCAGTGGATTTGAGCCATATTGCAAACGTTGCAAGCAGCATTAGCAAGTACAGAGCCACGATGTTTTATGAACGGGCCTTTTACGGTATTAAAACGTCTCATAATTAGAAACCCTTTAAAACCGAATTATACCTTTCCTTCGAGCAAAAAATCTGAAGAAGACGTAATTTTCTACTGATTGAGTAAAAGAATGAATGTTTTTATGCATGTTTCCATGAGATATAATTGAATTTTTAAGGGAGTCGAAAATCAATGGCAAAAATTCATGCCATTTAAGTAGTCATTTTTTACAGAGTGTGGTTTTTGCCTGAGGCCGGAAAGAAGTTCGTTCGAAAACCGGCATCTTGAGGTAACTGAACTATTATAGAACTATGCTGCATGATGATTAGTTTTAAAACCCTACTTAGGTAATCTTTTCGAAACGAACATGCATTTCAGAATCTCGGTTAACATTTCATGAGTAAGCACACCTACTGTACACATCTTCTCTTTTCGTTTATCGCTGGTTTCTTCGCAAGTCCTCGCCCTTTGGGTCTCTGCGAAGCCTGTTGCCTTTGAATCCACGCGTACAGCATTACTATGCAGGCCAGCGCATTATCGAGTAAAGGAAACAATGAGGTAGACACAAACGTGTCCTCATGGACGATTAATGCGCAGTTTCCTCTGAATGTTCATCTTCCATGCTCTTGACTCTGACTATATGTGGTCTGGATTTTCTGAATCTGCCAAGATGAAGCTTTCTGCCCAGCCTATTTTAGAATGTTGCGCAAATGCTGTAATTTTCATGACCAAACTCAATCAGCTGATCAACGGGTTGCCACCCCCTCCAGTACTTTATTATTGACCTGACTATACAACTGTACTGGTGTAAGGTTTAATTTAGCCGTATCTTCTGCCTTTGCCAACGTACGATTCTCTGCGTGTGTAATCAGTTTTCCCCGAATAGCAAGATGAACGACTGTACTGTGATCCTGATCCTCCCTTTGTTTCGACCTGTTTTCTTAGGCTTTATGTGCGGAACCACCGTGCTGGACAAGGACGGCATCGGGGCCCTGGCCACTGTCTGTGAAATGACCTCTCATCTCTATGCTCAAAATGTTTCACTGGTGCAGCAGTTGGATAACATTTTTGACCTGTAAGTTCTCGCCTCCTGACTTGGCTATCTCTTACTACATTTCCTACTCTGCCTGCGGCTGGGCTGACGCTGCGGACAACGCAGCTATTAGTAATTGACTTCAATCTGGTGACTGTGGGACAGTCGAAAGGTAGCATTGAGCCTGTTTGCAGTCGTCAGCCTGTCATGCTGAGATGCTGCGGAAGTTCCCGTATCATGCATCAGTCAATTCGTGCTTGTTTTGTGTACGGGTCTGAGTCGAGGGCCAGGATGTGTCTTGCTATTGGCTGGACAAGGCAGCTAGGTCACAAATGGTCACCATTGTTGCCTGGCGTTTGAACATACGCCTTCCGGTGGCCCTTTGGGGCTCCTTCTTAGCCAATGAGCATTCGGAACACGTGTGTACTTGTACTTGATACGTCTGCGATCATGTATGATCTGGCCGGCCTCGACAATGTCATGACTGTACTACTCCGCGTGTAGCGATCTGCGACAGCAGATCTTGGCAGCTCAACCCATTCTCTGCGCCAGTGACGGACACCAAGTGCCGAAGGCCGAAAACCACTTCCATGTGACGGACTGTGTCGAGCCGAGTTTTGCGTTGATCCCTTCTTCGGCCCTTCTAAGGGGTTAACGGTGTGTGGGGCCAGGGCAGCAACACAGAGCTTGTGAATTGGACGCTAAGTAACGTGCCGAAACTGCCGCAGTCGTCTCTACTGGATGGTCTGGGATATCCTTGCGATGATCTCGCAGCGAGTGAGCGCTGTCTCGTTTGAGACGAAGTCAGTGTACTTAACTCCGAGGCAGGTCCTCAAACAGTGGTGGTCAAATACCTCCGGTTTTCACTCATCTTCGACGCGCTCAACCCAGCATCCACAATCTTGACCGAAGGACTGACCGGACGGACGTACGTTATACGCGGATCTTCGTGGCGATGAAGATGTCACGTCGGGTCCAGAAACACTTTCGAAGGCTTGAGAAAACCCGGCTGGCAGCATCGATTCGGGTGACGATGTCGCCCTTTCTCTCGCCATTCGGCAGTATCCTTGCCCCGAGGTACTCGAAACTGTCTACATCTTCCAGTTGGCAGCCATTAATCTCGAGAGGTGTCTTCTCCTGGTCAGGGATGCCGTTTGAAAAAATTTTGGTTTTCCCAGACTATGGATAAGCTGACGGATTTAGCGATCACATTCGCCAACGTGTGTTCCTTCCGATAGCTGATATATATATGTAGTCATGCTAGCTCGGCCGTTTACTGCGCATAACCGGAATCCTCGGAGCACGTTACCCCGACCACTCCCAATTCATGTCCAGTCAAAGATACCGACGAGCAGATTGAGATAACGGAAGGCATGTTGCCCTTGAGTGCGTTTGTTTCATGCTTGCCTCTTAGCACCAAGAGGACTTTTAGAATCTATCACCTCTGTGCACCGGTATCTTTTTCTCCAACACCCTCACCAGACTACGATTCCCCCTTAGCCTGGTGAGTTTTTGCCGGACAAACAACCAGCTACGGCCCTCACAACTGGTGCATCTGCCAAAATCTTTAAACGCGCTTCGCAATATTTATTCCAAGTTAGTAGGTAACAATCCCAAGTTAATTTAATGCGCACCGTTGCGACCTACATTCTGGTCGAGCGTCTTTTCAGCCACACGCGCGAGTCGCAGTGAGGGAAAGTCCTACCCAAGTAGCGCATGTCTTTTTCGCTGATTCAGTCTAGATGGTAAGCACACGAATTTTTCTCTTATGGCGACCACTTTGCAGAAAATTACGTCTTTCTCAGATCTGGTATTTAAGAAAAAGAGCTGTATTTGGGTTTTAAAGTTTAGAACTGTACATGCACGAAAGGTGCTACCAGGATCATTGGTGCGGTCAGATATGTTAAGATCATTTAGCGCTGCTTATAATATAGACTAGAATAGCTTTATTATAGCACCTTTTGGGCGCTGCCAGTCTCCTCGAAACATCGGAAAAAAGTAGTATAGCTAGCTACGTTTGATAAGCGCATGCGGCCTCTCCGATATTATGTGGAGGTATATGAATTTGCCTGAGAGAAGGACCCTAGCATATAGCTTGGAAAGCTTAAGAGCAAGTGGAATGTTATTTGGGTTTAAAACTCGCAGGAATTTATGTGCTTTTGGGAGTCTCAATATTCTCCTACTTCAAGTGTTCAAACTGGAAAGGACCTAGTTTTCCACCAACCAGACTTGACAAATGAACTATTTTGTTCGCCCCTACATGCACTCTACTTCAGTAGCCATTTTTCCTGAATCTAGATAATCCCTGCAGCATAGATGACACCTATCCGAGGGACAGCATCTTACCTTCTACGATTTACTCGAGGATCATGTTCTACGTTAGTCGGTTTTGTCACCCCACTTAAGTAGTATCTTCCACTTAAATACATGATAGATTTAAGTCAATGTCAGAAGCTAGTAAGCAGTGTTTTGTAGAAGCAGCTATCACTCACCCCCATAACTACTACGTCTTGCGGGCATCGGTGTATTTTGATTAGTAGTTAAAGCACGGTAACAGTGGGATGCGGACTCAGGACACGGAGGGCTGCCTCTGCAACCGTTGTAACTTGCCAGTGAGTTTCGATCTGCTGATCTGAGTTTTACATCGGGTTTTCGAGAAGGGCGTTGCTCTATAACCTGTCGATTGTACATGTCACAGCGTCAGTCAGCTAAAGGCGATCTGGGTTAGTTTACCTGCGTTACACGCGTTTCTGGAACCAAAGTCGGGACGACGACAGCCTCACCAAAACTCAAAAACAACAGCATGGATTAAGGGTTCATCTTCGTTGACAGCGTTCCACGAGGACCCTTTTGTTGAGTCCCGATCGTGCGATCCAGTGCCTTTTAGATTGCCAAGTAGTCAACGACCTCTCAGCACCATGCCGTATTCCCATCTGTAGAAACGTTCCCCTATTCCCTCTCTCATTAATTATCTTTTTTAATTTAGGTTTTACCTTTTCAAGTGTCGTTTCTTCAGAATAAGATAAATTTCGACGAAATTTGGCTAGAGGATGACAAGTTAGAACTCCGAAACCACAGTGATTGAAGTTTCCTCTTTGTTTGCAAACTTTGGAAGGACACAGTTTTTTCTTATGTTTCTGGCGGCCTTCGTCTTTGCCAGTTACCTGGCCCCCTTCGTCATTGGGTCGTCGTATACCAAATCGGGCGCCAAACACACCAATATCTCCTCCTCCTCCTCCTCCTCCTCCTCCTCCTCCTCATCATCATCATCATCATCATCATCATCATCATCATCATCATCCATCAACCAATCAATCAGTCATCGCCAATAACCGAATGATTATCATCACTTTTCGTTTATTGCACACCTTATGCACTGTCTGTGTAACACCATAGATTTTCTTGCCCCTTCTTTGTGCTTATACGCCAACCCCTGATTACTACTTCTGTCGTGTACAGTCACGATCATTAGAACCTAAAGTTCCAGACTTATGAACTTGGGACCGTGTTAAGTATTTACTCTACCCCCTCAAGAAAATTAAACAAGACCAGAGCGCGTTCGTTTTCAGTGCCCGACCGTCACCGTCCTGTTTCGTAGCCATATTTGACTGCGATTAATAAGGTTGGTTCAGATTTGTGCGCCTGGCATGCGCGAGCTATCGAGTGCTTTAAAGCCGAGAGGGGGGGAAACGGAATATGAATGCGAGCAGACCTGGAGAACGCCCTCACTTTGCCTATTCTTGCCCACCCAAGCGCGAACTGATCGTTGCTGGCGCTTTGAGTCCTTCTCGCGACAGTTGTCCGGACTGACTGAGTTGCCACCGAGCGTGGCCTCTAATGGCGACGTCAGAACCGGAGCGAATTTTGAGCCCTGCTAGAGGGACATTGTCGACGGGTATGTGTCGCACACGTTTTTGGTTGCTATAGGCACCAGATCCGGCGAAAGTAGCTCTGATGAAAGCCGATACTTCTGAATTATGTGGTCGTGCTACCCCTCTCATATATTTTTTTTCAGTATTCACAATGTGTCGCTTTTTGGCAGTAGTCTTTTTGTAGACCCCCATTTATTAACAGCGGTGGCCAGTTGTGGACGATCACGTCAGTGAACTGAATTGCTTTACTTCACATCCTCCGTAGGAAAGCTCCCACTGTTTTTTAAGGCTGCGTTGGCCTATTTTAACTAACGGTGTTATCCACAGGTCACCTAAAGTCGTGCCGCTTTGTCTACGTTCGCATCTCTTTTTACACAGACCTCACCTCGCCCACCTTCAAAGTTTTGTTATGGGTGACTGTTAGAAGATCATGGACAAGCGGTTTGACTCTTGTCTCAAATCCTTTCGAACAGGTTTTCCGCGTAAAAGCATTGTTTAATTTACGTTGAGAACTACGATTCTGTCCTGACAACTGAATCCTTTTCGACCTTTCCTCGTTTATGCGCACACCCTCGTCTGACTGTTGTCTCTGCTGCCGTGTCTTTTTGCGCAGGTACGGAAAACATGTGTCCAATAACGGCTACTATTTCTGTTACGAGCCACCAAAGATTGGAAAAATGTTTGATCGCTTGCGGAAGATGCCGCAGACCGGCCATTATCCTGCCGCTTGTGGTCGTTTCAAGGTCACTGGGGTGCGTGACCTCACGGTCGACTACGACAGCTCCTATCCCGACAAGAAAGCTGTGAGTCCTCGCGCCGCCATTTGTCGGCGGTTCTGGCTTTTGTTCCTTGACTTGGTTGCCTTGTTTTTTTATTTTTAGACGACACGATTTATACGGAATCTCTTTCTCCCACCCGTGGTTCACAGATAGTAGTTATGATTAAATAACTGCTCCCTTTTCAAGCAGTAACTTCGGATGTCTGCCTCCAAACTTGTTTAGCGAAATTATATTGACGCGTGCTGTAGGAATTTGGGGCGTGGCCCAACACTCCGACACGCCTCCGAGGCGTTCATCTACAGAATTTACAACGTTGGCCGCCTCCTTTGCTTGGCATTGTCGAACTGCCCAATCAGCGTGCCTGCCCGTTTGGCACTGAATCTGGTGACTGCAACCGCATATTTCTGCCTCAGAATTGTGACAGATTTCACACGTTATAGGAGTCAGTCCTGGTGGCAACTGTAGCCAGTTTTTGCTATGTTGTCGGAGCCAGTCCGTGTTATTCCTACTGAATTTCAGTCGCCAACAGCGCGTCTCACACATACTAACGGTTACGCCTTCTAGTCATGGGGTATTTCTTGGACAGCTGGGTCCTATTTCTGGCGCTCGAGTCCCCTGCTGTAAATGCGGAAAAATGAACAATTTCCACCGTTGGTTGGGAAGGTCTTGGCTCCTTTTACAGAAAGTTTGCGTTGTTAAAACATATATATCTTTAAATATAATTTTTAATTGACTTTGCCCTCGCACAAGTGTGGCCTTCGTCGCTTGAACTCGTCTGGGGACCTACTGATCGTCAGTGTTGCTATAGTGTCCTGTAAAAACTGCACTGGCAGTGTTTTCTTTAGACTGGGGACTCATGCAAGATCATTTTCGTCTGCTCTAAAGGCTTTTAAGCTGAGCCTCCTATTCTACCTTAGAGGCGGTGTAGGCTGGAGCTTTGGGACAACAGACACCCAACTTCCGACAGTCAATTCGCATTTGGGCACATTAGCAGCCTATTTTTCTAACAATTAGTACCCGCATCCCCTGAAAACCCGCCTATCGGGGCCTAGTTATTTGTATGCGCACCACTTCACTTCTGGCGGCGATAGCAGTCTCCTGTTGAGCAAGATAAAAAATCTTTGTCTTTAAATTGGGTCATCTCCGTAGTTTATACATGTGCTAGAACTATTGGCTGACTTTACACCCTCGTACAAGTGATGGTCTTCGCCGCCTATGTCAGACAAGCTATCGCTTGATCTCTTCGGAGGTCCACTGACCGTCAGTAATACTGTGGTTTCCAATGGAGACTACGCTAACGGAGCATGGAGAGGCAGTAAAAGTCATTGTTGCCTGCGTCAGCCTTCGGTCGCCGTTTTTGAATCATTTTTATCATCCACAGACTGGTAAAATAAGGTGCTGCTTTGCAAACGCGTTATGTAGCGCGACTCCTTGGCCGTTTTCTGACACGAAACGGGATGACCACAGTTTAGTCCTTTTCAACAATACTTCTTATTGTCTGCAAATCCTTGTGTCACCCGATACAGAGGAATGCAGAATCTGCCGGTTTCTTCTGCAAGCATGCCAGAGGCGTGCATGCTAACTTCTCAATTTAGCACAGTTTTCAGCTTGAGCGGTAGAAGTACTAGCGGTGTCGCCTTTTGTTAACTTTTTCGAGGTCCTCCTGTTTCCACCCTTTTCTGTTGAAATCAGGTGCACTTTAGAGTCACATCGTTACCCCCAACACATCGTTTAATATGTCGAACTATATTTTTTTGCAACTCGGACCGGAAACACAGTGTGGCGTCCGTTATCAGCTGGTCGCTTTGTGTAGCCAATGACAGCGTGTTTCCGTCTCCGTACGCCGGCGAATGTTTACTGATCTCGGTGCAGGAGGTAGGGGCGACAAAATGCTGAGGTCTACTCTTGGGGCTAACCTAGAGCGACTTCTATTTCGCACAACAAAGGCCCCCGTTCAACCTCGTCTGACATCAGGATTCCCGTCTAATCATGTTCCAAACTTACTTTTGGGCCTGCTTTACTTAAAACCACATGAGTAGGTAGGCAGGAGTGCATTTGCAGTCAGTTTTTCTTTCTAATCATTGGTACCTACACCCCTATCAGTATATGTGACCGGAAAGACCTGGCTACCGGAGCTCTGCGATTTTCACAGGCACCAAACCGCCTACTCCACCTCGGACGGCACCGGTAGCGTCCTTCTGCTGGAACATAATGACAAATTTCGTTTTTGAAAAACTAGATCGCCTTCATAGCTCGCACTGTTAGTACTGAGCTGAAAATCGAGTTGTATTTCAATCCCTTGCACACAGCTGACCAATTGGCTGACGACACTCATGCAGCTCCTTATTTTGTAGTCATATGCCGTTGCTACTGTCCTCTTTAAGTAAGCAGCGTATGTACCTTGTTTCGGAAGTTCGATCACTTGACCCGATCCCCAGCTTTCCGAAATTTCCCTCCTCTAACCCAGTTATTCTGCTGGACATCTACCTTTGCGCCATCTAAAATGACAGATTTGAGCCTCGTTCCGAAAGTTCATCTTTGAGATTGTAGCGACCCGTTGACTAATTACGGAAAACGTTCTATGACCTGCGCAAGATACTTAATGGCTTCCATATGGCGATATTTACGCGCCTTCTTGGGTTTTGGTTGGAAGATGCAGTTGAGCCTTTGAGTGGCTTCAGAACCACGTGCTTTGAAAGTGCGTGATTTAAATACTTTCAGAATCATTGTCGCGGTCTTTAACAAAATTACTCGCTCCAAAGTACAAACCCCTAGCCGAATGAAAACTAGTTCGTCGTGGCCAGTTACCTTCCTTGACCCACTAATTAAGCACTCCTCGGTCCACCCTGTACTCCAATTGACGAAGACACTCGTAATAAGTTGTCGGATATCCATAAAAAGCTTTTAAGTTTTTCCGTTAGAAATCAAGCCTGAAGTCTACTGTCTCTTATATTTTCCCTTCTAGCGACTTCCTGTCAGCGCTTCGAGCCAGATGATAACTTTCAGTTTTGACAATGGTACCATCCTCACCCTTCGTACTAGCGGCACTGAGCCCAAGATCAAGTACTATTCGGAACTTTGCGCCAAGCCGACAGACAAGTACGTCTTTGCCTTGCTGTAGCCCTCCTTTGATGCGTATATACCCGAAGAAGGGCATTATTTAAAAAGTTGTTTTGTAGATGCCGAAAGGTTTGAGACGACTTTGCATCCGCCACCTGTCACTTCGTAGTTTAGTTGACTATCAAATTAAGAAATTGTGTGAAATGTGTATTAACTCAAACTATATCATACACCTTTACCGTGGCAGCACATAGCGCCTTAGCTCAAAACATATTGTTTTCTATCACACAAATAACGGGCTTTGTTTCCCTCCCATCTGCACTTTTGTACTAATTTATCGGAGAGTATGTTTGACTTGCTACCTTGTTGTTCTCTGTATCGATCAACACTAGTGAATTGAAACTATCAATACCTAAACATAGGGCCAAAAAGTCCAGGATTGCTGACAAAAGCCCACGTAGCAAAATTAAAAGAACTTCGGGAGAATAAAAATATCTTAGTAACTAGACCTGATCAAGGAACAGGTGTCGTTATAATGAACAGATCGGACTACGTAGCGAAGATACAGTCCATATTATCTGACCAGAAGAAATTCAGGAAGGCAGACAAAGAGGAGGATTTCACGGATGTCGCAGAGGCATAATTGACTGACTTTTTAAGAAGGTTCCACAAAGGATGTCACATAAGTGACCATGACTTTAAACACCTCCGGCCAGTCGGCACACATATCTCTCGATTGTATGGCTTACCTAAAATCCATGACGAAGGCCTACCGGTTCGTCTGATTTTAGATATGCGGAATTCTCCGTATCATGCGATAACTAAGTGATTATCAGAGAAACCCAAACCTATATAACATCAGCTGCCACCACGCAGCTATCGAGATACCTTTCAATTCATTGACGAAATTAAAGACCTCAATCTTAAAGGCATGATGATGCTCTCACTAGACGTTGCATCACTTTTTACAAACGTCCCGGTCACCGAGACCGTTGATTACATCTGTGATTTTTTATCTGCCAGTCAGCAAGAAATAGGAATATCGTCGAACACACTCAAGGAACTATTACTAAGGTGCACATTAAATGTGCCGTTCCTTTTTGACAACCAACTCTATAGACAAATGGACGGCGTTGCTATGGGCTCGCCTCTTGGACCTCTCTTAGCCGACGTCTTCATGGGCAAGCCGGACAGATTTCAACTAAACAATCGGATCGAAAAGCTTAAACATTATGGTCGCTACGTTGATGATATCTTTGCGATTGCAACCACAGAAACAGACGTTGCTACTCTCCTAAATGCTGCAAACCAAACACATCCGTCGATCGAATTCACGTTCGAGATGGAATCGGCCTGTTCGCTTCCTTTCTTAGATGTCCTTCTAAACAGGAGATCTGACGGTAGCATCCGAAGGAGCGTCTATAGGAAGAAAACCTGGTCTGGACAATACACGAACTGCACTAGTTTCGTACCTCTCCAACAAAAACGAAATCTAGTCAGGTGTTTGGCACAAAGGGCTAGAAAAATTTGCTCAACAGATAGTATCGAAGAAGAACTTAGAAAAATCCAGGACTTGCTTCGCGAAATCGGGTGTCCTGACAGGTTCGTTGTAAAGAACCTTGTCGAACGACCCGCAAAACCCACCACACTGACCGCCGGGAAGAAAACGTTGTTCCCCAAAGTCCCTTTCCAATGAGACGCTGCGAGTGAACTCCTAAGAAGACGCCTTGACCAAACTGTCTCGGGAACCTTCCTAGCAGCAAGGGTTCGCATATCATTCTCTACCAACCCTATTTTACGCGAAGGTAAGGATGGGCTGCCACCTCAGACCGCGTCAATGTGCATCTACTCATTCACTTGCTCTTGTGGAGCAGGTTATATTGGTCGTACGAGTCGGCGGCCTTCCAAAAGAATACGAGAGCACCTTCCCGCATGGCTAGCAAAAGGTGAAACTAGGAGAATAGACAGCGCCATCCCTGTGCATGCAGTGGATTTAGGGCATCTTGTGGATCCCGCTGAAGCACTTCGTGTGATTTATAAGGTCGCCTCGAGCTACCCTAAGCCTCTGGGCCAGCGCCTGTTAGCAACAGCAGAAACGGTCGCTATCAGGTTACGAAAACCGACCCTGTGCGCCCAGAAGAACCTCGTTCAGGCTCCGCGCTTGTCGTGGTCAAAGGTTGACTAACCACATAAAACTTTCCGTGCCCTTCCGCTCTTGCCTAGCCTGTATTTTAAAAACTAACTTTTACCGATTTTTTTCACTCACTGCAACCTGTCCCATAAAACTGTACTGGCCTGACGAGAAGTTATCGAAAGCAACGTTCGCTCGCCACTTTGTCTTTTGACTAATTATAATATAACCAGGTTCATTATTTCTTATTCGCGCTATATAATGAACGGAAGTATTTGAGCAACCATGACAAAACATATCTGCTACATACTGCATACTACTGGCTGCCTGTTGGCGGTTTGTGAATATTAAGCGGTTATTCCGCAGTAGCTGACGGATTTCAGCTCAAATATTCATATCAAAATTTGGAGCGTGCCTGAAAAGGCCCGTTTCGAAAGATTTACTCCAAGTTCGCGCATTAATTTCCTCGGAAATTAAACAAAACAAGTTAAAACTGGAGTTCATGTACCAGAAAACACACGGGGACACCTGGGGGACCCACTGACGAGCCGAACCCCTCGCAGCTGCGTCAGGCAGCGGCATAAGATCGGCGAAGCACGCGTGTCTGGGCTTTTAGCTAATACCTGTGTTGTTAGTATGGTAAATCATTGCACAGTTACAAAACATATCGTCAGTAAGTTCTGCCCTGCTCGAGCTAAAGCGCATTCCTCCAATCTGGCTCTTGTGGTAGATATGCCATATTTTTATAAATTGCTACTATTTATATTTAAGTACACCATATGGCTGCTCTTTCGTTTTAGGCGTTCGGCCGCCGAGCTTGAAGCTGAATTGGCAGAACTTATTGCCATTATGGTGGAAGAGTTTTACCAACCAAAGATCAACGGTTTTACAGCCCGATCAGATTGATTTCGGCCTTTAGTTTGTTCGATTAGACATAGTCTCCCTAAACATCCTTTCCTACGTCGAGCGCCCCCTCACCCCGATCTGTGGATATCTTCCTTTGTTGTAATGCTTGATTATTAAAAATCGATCTCAGCTCAGGTTACAATAAACGTCCTTTTACCTCTAGCCGTGGTTACTTATTTTACTAGTTTTTCGTCTCCATTCTCAGCATGCCACTTTGACCCCGGTCTCCGGAAGAAGAGTCAGGGCCAAAAAGTTAATACCAAGCTAAACTTTTTATTTTAAGTCTACACAGTGGTACTTGGCCATATGGCATCGAAAACAACGTTACAACCTTCCAAACTGCAAGGTCTCATTAACATGATTCAGTTGTGCTCCGCAGATGCAACACTTAAAAGTAGCCAGCCTTGTTGACAGTGAAATTTACCTTGGAAATGCTTGATGCAAACAGTTGGGCGCAGTAGCTATGTATAGACAATAACTTGCGAGCTGCTGCCCACATTTGTCGCCTCCCATAACACCGTACTTCCACGCGTGAGCGTTGATTGGTGTTGCCGAAAACAGTGTTTCCTGAACCAGAAATCTTTGATAGGGGTGGACTCAATTCTAGTAAAATGCTGGCAATAGCCAGTGCGGCCGACTGCCGATCCGAGATGGTACCCCCATAACCATGCACATGACGTCTTTACTTACCTGGCAGACTGAAAGCGGATTTCTCAGTGATAATTTGAATTCCGAATACGTAGTTGGTAGTTCATTGAGGCGACAAGGATCACCACCGTATCGAGGAGGACTTGGCGGTGTGTAGTGAGGAGACTTGTGTGCGGTGAGGTATGATTGCCCACCGTCTACTCCACTCTTTCTTCCAACACTTACCGTGTCCCAGAGGACAAAACAACGTCACTACGGTTGGAGACGCGTCTGGGCACGGCGACTTTAAGGACTTATCGGCGCCAACACGTGCAGCACACGTCCTAGTCTCCGCAAGATCCAGAAAAGGAATTGGGTCTAGGGACAGCCAAAAAGCAACCGTTACAGCGCGACCCTCAGTTCTGTACGGGATTGAGTCATGCCGTCAGTTAAAAAGTTTCTAAGCCATATTTACTCTGAGTGCTGAATCGGTGCAACCATCTCTGCCTTCTTCCGTCATTCACCGGTGTCCTGTCCGGGCCAAGCCATCTGGGGATGGTGAGATTGAGCAAAGTGTTAGACCTGGGATTGTCAAGTTCTCCCTCTTAATGCAGAGAAATTAATCGAGTCAGGATGCAGGGGGATTGATGGAAGCAGAGTGGATCACGTACGACAATAGACGATTGGCTGCGGGGACAGGATATTCTGACGGCTCACTACCTCGAACCGATTTCCGCTAAGAAACTACAATATCTTCCTGGAGGTAAGGTACACACAGAGTTGACCTGCAAATTGGTTATGTTTGACTAACGAGAATAAAAAAAGTCCAAGACGATCATTACAGTCTTGTATCCGATAATAAACCTCGTCGATTATTCGTCACTGAGGCTTCCTATGACAGCTTAAGCTGGGGTTCCAAGACAAAGCGTATCCCCCGTATTCTGTCCTGCCCACCGACGGATTGGAGAATACCACTCGCATCTACTTTTTATGTCTACGCTGGCGACATAGATGGCATAAGTCTTAAGCTCACCTTATAACGCGGTAAGCCCAATGACGATCCAGATACGAGTTCCAATCCCATACCCAGCCGATCCCGACTTGAGGAAAAGTTGGCTTGCGACCGTAAAGAAGCTTAATATGGGGATTTAATTCTCCCCCGCCTCTGACCGTAAAAGTCCTCACAAAAGTTTCTTGGGTAGTATTCTCGCACGGACAACATAAGGCTGTCTGTTTGAGTCCTAAATGCTGTGGCAATTAAAAGCAGGGCCCCGGGATTGCTGCGTCCTAGTAGAGTTCCCAGTCACGCCTACCTTACATGTACACTTGTGCTGACCTCGACAGCAGGAGTGCTTGCGAAGGAGGAGACCCGATTGCTGGAACAAAAGCTGTATTAGCCGGGCGTTTCAGATTCTGATTTGAATCCACCCTCAGAGGCAACGTCAGATAAGGGTAATGGATTACCCAGGTGTCGCAGTATTTATAGGATATACTTGCTAGGCCACTACATACCTATCACAATGGACAAATCCCGTGCACATCACGGTCCGACTGACCAGGCGTTGCAGTATCCAGTTGCTATGCGCCTGTGTGCCTGTCAAAATTATCGGCTCCCACGGTCATCGCACGCAGTGGAGTTGCTAACTGCCAGGCTTTGGCCACCCATGTGGGCTTTCGGGCAACTTGGCTCGTCCACAGTGACGCCAGGACCAGTGGTCATCCGCATGCCCGCCTTGCCTAGGCAGTCTCAGCATTGAAAATGGATAGGATAGGTCGTTGCGCTTGTTGATTGATTAAGAACCAGAAAACCATGACCCTCGCAGTTCGCAGCTCACGCGATCGTCGCTTCTGGCGAGAATTTCGCCCGACAATAACACCAACACCCGGGCGATCTATTACTCTTATCTGAATTTGTCTCTAATGACAAATTCAAGTGAGAATCCGAAACGTCAGGTTAATGAAGCTCTTGTTCCAGCGACCGGGTCTCCTTCGCGGCAACTTCTTGGAAATCACTTCTTCCGTTTCCATTACCAGGATTGCCCTTGTCTCGACGTCGTGCTCTTGCAGTTCACTCTACTGATTGACGCTTGAGCTTATAGGAAAACACACAGGATCACACAGAAATCCTGATAGGGCTCCGGTGAGAACAGGCAGTCGTTTGTAACTAATACCCCTCCGGTTTTACCCGTGAGCTGATTGCTTGCGAGTAATTTAGACCTACTTCATCGCATCCCATCGGATGCCTTTCGAATGCAACACAGCAGCTTGTGACGACTGGCGATTTATCCTATCTCAACCTCCCCGTTGATATCTCCAGACTGGTGCTTATCCACATCCATTAAATTTCCATAATTCGTGGCTAGCGGTACTCCTCCCTCGGGATTGGAGTGCTCCATCTCATGAGCTGCAGCAGTGTCTGACCTTACAGGGGAAAAAGCGAGCTCCAGGAAACATTTGGGTGAAAGGGAGCTACTTTGAACTTGATCAGTGGAACACGAATTTTACTGGCCTGACGTTTCGCCTCCACACTCGATCCCAGAATCGGGGGCGACAACCACATACCTGTTAAAAGTGGCAGCGTCCGCATCCATCGCAGATAGTCGTACTTGGTGCGATAATGGCTTGGTCGCCCACCATCTCATCACCCGTGTTGATTATTGGCGTAATAATTACTTGGTCATTTGGTTCACCGATGCTGGTGCTGGAAGCAGTGTTTGCTCCCGTGCATCAGGGGTGGTCCGAGTGAAGTTCGTGTCGAGGGGACGGTCGAAGGCCCTGTAACAGGTGTTTTTATGGCGCAAACAAGGCGAGTGCGCAGATTTCAGTCATTGCAAAAGTTTGTATCCTGCTTCAGCAACTGCACACCTAGCCCCGCATTGGCCCACTTTTTGGATACAGATGGGCCACCGGCATGCTAGCAGTTCAGTTAAGGCGCATTGCCTCACTTTAGTCGGTAAAAACGACCATCTGCTGATCGCCCAATGGCTGATGTTTGCGCAATTAATCTTCTCTCCTCCTCCTGGGGACAGTTGTGCAACTGTGTGACCGTTGGATAACTTGTCTGACAAAAGTACATAGGGTTGGGTTGTGTGGTATGCATACTCGGCTTCTTGAAGAAGAAGACACGATCGCCGGGACATGAGCTTTATTAGCCTGACGTTTCGGATTCCAGCTCGGTTTCGCTTTTTGGGAGTCGTTTTTCGCACCGACGTAAAATCACTGAGACATCGTTTAGGTGTAGATTCAAGTAAGGCCCGTTATTACGGGTACATGTGGTGTCGAAGGACATCAACTTTTTGAAATTGTTCTTTGGCAAATAAAACCCGCAGATTTCTTGTGACTGCACGCTGATTAAGGAGGTCTTTATCCCAGTATTATTTATTTTACATGTCTGGAGGGAACCGCCAGTGTGAGATTGCCTCCGTGTGCGAATTGATTTAGTACTGTTACCTATCGTCTTCCTTAGACCGCCTCTATCGTGGAGATTATTCAACATTTTTGCAAGTCCTCCCAGACGCTCTGAACTCTCAATCTGGGCAAATTCAGCGCGGACACACGCCGGACCAGACAAACACAGCCATTCATGTCTCCTATAACGCAACATACCGCTTAAGCGGGTTTGCGGTATTTGCGAGCATACTGCCCGGGTGCGCAGTTGGCGGGGTCTTTGAGGCCTCCACGTCCCGCGTTCGATGTCTTAGTCGTTTAACCCGCCACTTCGTCAGGGGATGAAGTATCAGTGTCGGAGGAGGAACTGTACGAGGAGGGGCAGCCTCACGAAGTTGACGATGAGTCAGACGGGTACCTTTCCCTCATATCCTCGACGGTCATCACGCCTCCTATATGTTCTCTTCAATAGTGGATTCAGTGTACTACAAAGGAGGCAAAAAGTGTAAATGTTAAAGATCAACAGAAAATGTTGCGTCAAGGGAACGAGCGCATAGGAGCAAAGGCGTGGCAAAGCAGAAAACACCATTCAAGAATGCGCGCGCGAAGGCAAACACTTCGTCCGATCGATAAACCCATCAGCGAGTGCACATTGATTTTCGCCCGAAATGACATGAGTGCTAGGTGCACAGCCAACCAATCAATATTCGCGCCGATTAGAGTATGAGGTTCGATACTCGAATCGAATTTCATTGCTATTATAATTTAAAACAATGCCTCTTAACGTTGCGCTTCCGTGCCTCCAAAAGGTGACATTATGAAGTCTCTCCCTGAGACATTATATAACAGTGTCGGTACACGTACTTCTTATCATCACTATACGATTGTGAATGCTAGGCTGCACACCTGGAAGATTAGCAAAAATTGTGTTTGATCACCGCTGCCTGAGGGTCATCTCTCTACTAAAGTACAGCGACTTCATTTCA